GTATGGCGTGCCCACCACGCCCTCCATGGACCCTCCCTCACTGACCCACTCCGCCGACCCGAAGTCCGCGAGCTTCAAATTGTTCCTGGAGTCGAACAGAATGTTCTCCGGCTTCAGGTCCCTGTGAACGACGCCGACCCTGTGGCAATGCGAAATCGCTTCGAGAAGCTGCTTGATGATGGAGGCGGCTTCGGGTTCGGAGAGCGGGCGCTTGATGATCCGGTCGTAGAGAGTAGTGGGTTCGCAGAGCTCGAGCACCATGGCCAAAGAGTCGTCGTTTTCGAAGACGTTGAAGAGCTTGAGAATGTTGGGGTGAGGAGCGAGAAGGCTCATGATCTTGGGCTCTTTCTCGAGGCAGGCGCGGTCTTGGGCATCAGTGAGGCCCGATTTGTCGATGATTTTGCAGGCGACGAACTCGGCCGAGTTGGGGCAGAAAGCTCGGATGATTGTGCCGAATCGGCCGCGGCCGATTTCTTCAAACAGTTGGTAGGAGTCCTTCAATGTGTCATACATTTGGGGGGATTTTGGGCTCTGTAGGTTGATGGTTGTGTTGTGTGTGGTTTTTGGTTTGTCTCTCTTGCTCTCCGAGAGCCTCTGAATTTTGGTTTTTCGGGGTTTCTTTGGTTGTTGCAGGTTTTTTGGGTTCTCGTGAGTTTTGGTGTGTGGGTTATATAGAAGAAAACAATTGGAATACTCGGGAGGAATATTCGGTTGGTGGGTAAAGTAAAGGTTTAAGCTAAACCGCCAGTAAACGGTTCAAACGAGTATTGGAGGAATTGTACGGCTGTCGTTGTTTTGTTTCGTCAATTATAATTTATAGACGCAGTTGGACGTTGTGGGGTTTCGGTCCGAGTGTGTTTCGGTTTCAGTTTCGGTTTCGGTAACACTAGTGTAAAAGGTCACAACTGCCCAATTTATTGGTGTTCTGTGAGTGCGAAGAGGAAAGCCCAAATCGGGAAAATCATTTTTCCAAGAACTTTCAAGAACTAGCTAGTACCCAAAAAAAGGCTATATTCATAAAAACGAATTTTTGAAACAACTTCAATAACAATTACCGCGAATGTTTTTCTAGTTAAAACTTGAAAGCACACTGAGCGAATGTCCATTGTACACGTACAACAACTTCTTCTATTGTATTATCAGCAAGTGAATCACTGTCAACTTCTTCTATTGTATAATAAAATCAGTCTCTTTCTGGAAAAGAAAAAAAAAACTTTTAGATCGTATCAAATGAATAATTTCTATAGCTGAGTTTGTACTGAATAGTAAGCCCCTTGGCTTCTTACTACCTATCGTATCTGTGCTGAGGTCTGCTATCACTTCGAAACACCTGGACATGGAACTAGAAAAAAAGAAAAGAAAAGAAAAGGAAAAAGGAAAAAGGAAAAGCAAAAGGAAAAGATTGAGAGGAGAAAAATATTCCGTACGTACAGGCTACAGGTTGAGCTTATTATAATGTGATAAATCATAATCAACATCAAGGAATATCAAGTCATGTCGTAAGAAACCAAAGCAATTGGTCCAGCGTTTAAGCATTTTATTCACTTTAATGCCGTGCTTGTCACTTTCTCCACGAAGGTGGAGGCTGCCGTGGTCCGACCTTTTTTTATTTTATTATTTTAGGTCTCTTCTCTACATGCTAGAAGAAGATAAGGATAAAGTCCTTCTCCATTTTTTCTTAATTAACGACTATATTGTGGTGGTTTGGCCATTATTTTGATAATTCTTTTGACAATGAGAGCAGTGAGTCCAGTGATACTACACCTTTGCCATGCGTAATGCATTGCAATTTGCAAAGCTATGCATCCAAGTAGACTATGAGATGAGTAGGCGTGCATGCAGCACCGCAAAACCCTGCATCCATCTTTTTTTCTTCCTTATTATTTCTTGCAATTTTCATCACCATCCTATCCTAGCTTTATTATTAATATTGTTTTTCACTATGAAGTGAACTGAATGAAAAATAGGAGTATCTTTTAAGATGTAGGAGCAACGCTTTTGATATACGATTCTTCAAGTTAATTAATTAGTGGTGTTAGTTAAAGTTTCGCTTTATTTGGAATGAATGACTTGCCAAGTCTCTTTTTTCATAAATCAAACGCAACCTAAAGACGATCACGTTGGACATGTGTTTGTTACGATCAAGAAAATTTAGCATAACTTTTGGTTTTAAGCTCGCTAAACAATGCGAATTATCCTTTTCAGAGAAGAGAGATCCAACCTTTTCTTTGTGGTGGGGAACTCCAACCTGATTATATGGAATCTTTTAATATTAATAATAATGTTTGATCACTGGTGACATGACTCATATGAGTAGTGACTGGTACATATGTTTCTCTCTCCATTATTAACTTTTTGGTCTATTTTTGTAGTTAATGTAAAATCTCAAACTATTTATTTCTACGAAAAGCATGTTTCTCTTCTCCATTATTAACTCAACTGTTTGATCAGCTGGATAATTGAATGGATGGGAATAATACAATAAAAATAATAGACAGGCCAAGTCACTAATAGGAATAGCTCATAACATAGCGCATGCCACTTTGGATCAACGTCATGCATCGCTAAATTTTGGGAGCAAACGTCATGCATCACGTTAAGCATGTCATTATCTTATGTTAATCAATAATCTTCCGAGGTTTCATTATTTTAATTTTGGAAAAATGCTCCACGTTAGCTATTAGATGAATTCAATTATTTAGATTCTGATGTAAGAAATCATTTTATTATTATATTAGCTTCATATGTCATTTGGGTCCTAATTACTAATAATATATTTTTATTATTCTTTCTTAATCATCAAGTTTATATTTTGATCAACGTTCCTCTGACGGTTGGACTTGGATGATCTCGCTGATATTGAATATAAATAAATAGATTTGATTGATCGGCGACCTCTGGGCTTTCACCTTCACCACTTATGTGGGTCTGCGGCTCCAACTTAGGACATGCCGGTACAGCTGGGCTGGGCTGTGCTATTCTTTCCAACATCAAGATCTATAAAACCCGGTCCACTTGGGCTGGGCTGGGCTGGTTTGGTATTCAATAAAAGTTTGGATTTGATGAAGAAAGACAAAAGCAATGAAACAGATAGTTGCTCCCCGAAAACGCTTGAGCCTCGTTTGAATTAAAGTAATTAACGCATGAGTTTAGTTTATGCGGCCAAAAATCCTTGTCGGTAAAAGCAGAGATTCTGCATAGAAATAGGGAATTGATATAATACAGTCAGCCTCCTTTATGGGGCTAGACTGTTCTGAAGGAAGTATAATTGGAGATCTCTTGCCCCGGACACAGTCAAGATCTTGTCTGGGCTATGATTGTCTGCTTGACCTAAGCATTAAAGCATGTTTAAGAAGGCAGTGTCCCAAAAGAAAATGCTACCTACTTTCTGTAATAAAAATGCAAACTTGGTTTGAAGACCGATGGATTAATCAGTTTAATAAGAAGAATGCCTGCTTCTTTTTGGAGATTAAGTTCAACCCCCAGTGATGCATGCACGAGAGTTCTCTTCTCTGCAGATACGTATATGCCTGCCGTGCTTTCATCTAAGTACGTAATATCTATGAAATAAAATTCATTTCACGCTGTGCTGCGGCTGCATAATAAGTAAACAAAACGTGCATGTTTTTGTCTTCTGTCCCCATATACATATCGAGATATTGCTAGCAAAGCAGGGCGGCTTTGGATGATCGCTAGTGGCGCATGTTATATTTGACCATTAGACACCAAAAAGTGTTTTTCTAAGTTTTCCAACTCAAACCAAGACGAGAGGAACAATGGCGCACATGACGAAATGAATTCGTCATTTGCTTTAAATTCAAGAATAACAGTTACAGTTGAAGTGTTCTTCCTTCAGTGATCAACGATGATATCCATGGCATCTCTTCAACTATATTTATATATATTTATTATTATTCTAGTGTTATAGTGGTGCATGCGTTGCGTGTGAGGACAGGAAATTAACAAAAAACCAGGGTTATATATATCGGACTGGCTAGCTAGTAGCTGGTTAACTATTTGATGAGAAAAATGGGGAGGGCTCCTTGTTGTGAGAAGATGGGGCTATGAAGAAGATGAGACATTGATTTCTTACATCCGACAACATGGCCATTCTAATTGGAGAGCGCTTCCAAAACAAGCTGGTCAGTATAAATTATCTACTAATTAATATAATATATGTGATTCTTTTGATATAAATAATATACATATATAGGTCTGTCGAGGTGTGGAAAGAGTTGCAGACTTCGGTGGTTTAACTACTTGCGGCCAGACATTAAAAGGGGAAACTTTAGCAAGGAAGAAGAAGAAACCATCCTCGAGCTGCATAAACTTCTTGGAAATAGGAGCGTACACTACTCATCATCATATCTCTTATTAACTGCTTCATTATTTATTCGATATATTTATATATATCATGTAGTGAACATTATAATTATCATTAGCTAGCTCCAAAAAGTTGACATATGATATCAAACATTATTGACCACTTAATTAATTTTCCTCTAGCTAGGCTCTGTCACAGACACACAAGTTATGAAATGAGCTAGTTATAGGTACTATAGCTGATCATATACTATAATTTACGGACACTGTAATCTGTTTGCTACTCTGAGATGGAGCTCCTATGTTTTGTGTATGCATATTTGCCGCAGAAGATTTTATGCTTAATAATATGCCCTAAGTTGAGTATCCAAAGTAATGACTTTTTCATGGGAATCATTGGATTGTAAACTATAATGACTACACATGATAGAACACACATCAAGAATATACAAGAGCACATCTCCTCAGTCCAGTCCCTTCATACACTCATTCTGGATAGAGTGAATTCTTTTGTGTGGGTTGGCTTGATCGTTTGAGCAGGAGACACTTGTGTTTTATATGTATCTGTCTAGGAGTCTCTTCCATCAAGAAAAACTCTCAAGCAGTCCTTATTGCATTAGAAAATAAAAACCCTAGTCCATATTAATTAGGAATCCCTTTGACCCATGTATTTAACTTAAACACTTATACAAAGGCTACAGCCGAGTAGTAATTGGGTCCTTGATCAATATTTTGCCCAAGACAACCCTATGATGATTAGAAGACCACTTAAAGTAGGTAATTAGAATAATCCAACATCTTACATGGATTGGATCGAAGAAACAAGAGTGTTATTATAGGAACATCAACAACAACAACAAGCGTTTTGATTTTGCTTAGAAACTCATTTAGTGTTTTAATTGTTACGTACAGATGGTCTGCCATCGCATCAAGATTGCCAGGCCGGACAGACAATGAAATAAAGAATTTCTGGAACTCTCACTTGAAGAAGAGAGTTGAAGAAGAACGTCAAGTACCTGCAGCAGCCCCCCTAACCAGAAGCATTAATAATATCACCCCCCTGAAGAACGGAGACCAAAGAATTCAATGTCCTATCCAATATGCACCAACAACCTTTTTTTAGACTTGACGATGATGATGATCTTCATAACAAGTTGTTGTCAAAAACGACATGTAGTAGTCCAAATATTATTTATGCAGATCCAGGACTTGAGCCTCCTTTCTCTTCTTCTTCTTCTAACTCTACCGCGGTGCAAATCATGAAAAGGGAAGGTTCCAAGACCCATGAAGACATGGATTTTTGGTACAGCCTCTTTATGAAAGCTGGAGAGCCATCAACAGTAGCACTGCCAGTCTGCCACTGCATGATGGAGTTTGGTGCAATTTAGTTTTCTTCTTCAATTCTTTGTTTTTCCCCCACAAAAGAAAGCAGAGGAGAGTTGGAATTCTTGGTTTCAGTTTTTGAAAGTGGTGTTAATTAATAATTATATATATGAATGAGAAATGCAATATTGTACAATAAACAAGAGACAAAAAGAAACTAAAAATTTATGTTATTTAAAGTGGAGCAAAATAAAACAAGGCATGTGATCAAAATTCATATGCTAAAAGGGTTGTAAAATTAATAAAAAATAAAAGAGATCTAAGTTCTCCCCAAATATATCCGTTATGTAACATTTTCTTAGAATATTTTCAAAGAATGAAAACAAGAAAACGAATTTGCATTTTCAAGAAATGAAAATGCATCTGGTAGATTAATTAAAAAACATCTTCATAAAACAAAAACAATGAAAAAGTGTCTGATAGTACAATTTGAAATAGAGTAATGCTACACTTACCACATTTTTATCTCACATTTTTATACCACATGATGGACATGTCCATATCATATGCCACATCAATTAAGTGAATGAAATGTATTTTAATAAATAAAATTAGAAAAACAGAAACTAGTATTTTACATGATGTGGTATGTACACATCAGGTGCCACATCATGTGATATGAAATTGTGGTATAAAAATGTGATAAGACTAGTATTATTCTTTGAAATAATAATATGTGAGTTATTTTTATGAAAACGTTTCACATGAGAATGAAAATAACTTTTTCTGTTTTCTACAAGTACACATGAACTTGTTTTTATTTTAAGAAAATATTCTCAGTATTTTTTGATTTTGGGCCACCGAATGTGTTTTTGCCTCATTTTTATTATCTAAAAAAGAAAACAACCCCTTAAAATGTTACCAAACGGACCTTGAGTTTTCAAACCCAACATTAGCATTCATGTATGTAAGGCCTGAAGGAAAACATGGACAAACACAAGGGTACTATAGGAAAACGAAAATAAAAAAAAGTTACTGGAGAAGTGTATTTTGATGCAGAGTTACTGAAGAAGTTAAAAGTTACATTACAATTTACAAAGGGTGGTGCTAGAGGCACCAACTTTGGGCACCAACTCTCTAATAGAGATGAAGTCCGTTAATACACCGGATCCCACGCTCTATTAGAGAGTTGGTGCCAAAGTTGGTGCTTCTGGATTTTCCATTTACAAAAGAAAGAAAAAGGGCCGTTTTGGTTCAACGAAGTCTAATTTCCCAACTCAGTCATCCAAACAGAAAATTCCAATACCCAGTTTCTCCCATTATCAAGCCCATTCCCGTAATGCTTCTCTATCTTTCGTACACCTCAAAGCTCAAAACCCTATAAAACCCTGAACCCATAAATTCAAACTGAGCTCATTTTCCACAGTGCAAATGGCTTTGGCAATTTCTCATGCTTTTCACTGCCCCAAATTGCAGTTTTCCCAGAGGAATTTCCGACCTAAAGTCCCAGAGTTAAGGTTCCAGCCTTCTTTCTTCAGGTAATTTAATTTAATCACTTTGTTGGAAACCTTTGTATGCCTCTTCATTCTTTTGAGCCGTTTCTTTGCGTTTGGTTGCTCGGAAAACTGAGATAAGAGTTGGTCAATAGATCGTTCAGCTTTTCAAGGGTCGAATGCTGGATTCTATGTAGATATTGTTATAGTTAAGAAATCATAGAAGTTTAAGTCTGTATGTAGTAAGGTTTGGTTGAGAAACTGCGGGAAACTAGTTGTTGTTTTTATTTATTTAATGGGTTTGTGTGGGTGATAACGCTACTACAATCATCCGACAACGACTTTATTCAGCTTCTTGTTCATGCTTTCAATGTATAACTTTAGCAACAGGGTGTTAAACTTATCATATTTCTAGAACAATTCCACAGAATACAAGGATAATTTGTGCGGCTGCGTCTGCAGCTGGAAGTTCTAATCCAGACAGTGATTTAAACCCATATGAGGTAAATTCAGTATGTAAATAGTATAAACCCTTGAAATTGATGTTGCAAGTCACTGAATAAGTGGTTACTCGTTTATTTGTTTTCTAATATCCTCCAGGTTCTCGGTGTGAGCCCCATTGAGGGGTTTGACATGATCAAGGCAGCATATACAAAAAAACACAAGGAGGCTGTAAGGAGCGGTGATGAAGCAACTGCTGCCAGAGTAGGTCTCTCTCTCTCTCTCTCTCTCTCTCTCTCTCTCTCACTCTTAAAATATGTGGTTGCAACCACCTCATGAACGATATTCTTATGGTTGCATAATCATTTATGTAGCTGGAGAAAGCATATGACAAAGTCATGATGGCACAGCTAAGTAATAGGAAGAAAGGTGTGACGTTTGGTTCCTTCAAGGTACATGCAGTGATATTTTATTTTCTGAGTTTTCTTCCATCAAGGTGTTACGCTCTTCTCAGTTTTATCTTTGCAATAATTCCAATTTCAGATTGAATAATTATCAGCTGCAACATAACAAGAAAAGTTTATTATCATCCTTTTTTTCTTCTGCCTTGTACTGATGATTCCTCTTATATTTTTTTCAAATTGCAGGTCTCAAAGGACATAAAATATGCTGATAAGCAACCAATTGTACCATGGGGGCCTAGGTTTGTCTACGCATCATGTGACTCGTAATTAGTAGAGTAGAAAATAGTGTTGTTGAGAAGATGCATATTAGTGGCTGCTGATTTTGATACTTGGTTAAGCATGCATTCTATTATATGAAGCAAAGAGTAGGTTACCCATGCGTTAGCTAGAGGCTGGTACTTTTGCGGTGTAAATCTCATGCGGACCTCTAGCAATGATGCCACTCACTTGTCATCTCATGACAATGCTGGCTGTTCTTATGAGCCCTCAACATGGACAATGCTATAATTATTCAGATTTTTTTATATATTCTGCATTGGCATTTTTGTGAACATGACTTAAGGCATGCCATTTTTCAATTAAAATATGAAATCGCTTTCATGTCTTTTCTCCATGTGTGATGTATTCACTGTTTTAACAGGATATAAGTAGTCTAGTGGTGGCACTGTATGTTATAATCTATGGACTTCTAATATGTTTATAGGTTCACCAAGTCTACTGTACAAGATATGCGCATCAACCTGGCAATATCTGCTGTATTTGTAAGTAGTGAAGGAATGGTTGATTTTCTTTATCCTTTTTCTTTTATTGTTTTGGAAAATATTCTTTGGTGGATGGTGTTGGTTATGAAACAATTCTCAAAGGCATCCAACTTTCATGAGGTTTTGAACCTTTGATTACTTTCTGCAGTTTTCTTGTAATTTTGTTATACCTTTGTGGTTTCTAGTTTCTGTTACATAGATATTTTAGCCTATGTGGAGAGGATGAGTGATATCTTTGAGAGCTGACCAGAATTGTCCTTTTTGGAGCTAACTGGGATGAGTGATATCTAGTGGCATTAGTCTCCAATTTGTTTAGAGTAGGTTCCAGGTTCAAATCTCCCATGGATTCGATACCTATTTGGCAGCTGATTTGAGCAAAACACCATTTACTTTGTTATGAAATATCAGGTTAAGAAGGGAGGGTTACCCTGTGCATGTGATGTGATTTTGCATGGCCATTGTACTTCTGTGATAATTTTTGCCAGGCAGAATTATATGGTCCTAGCACAACTTATATATTTCAGCAAAATAATCATTCATGTTTCTTTTGTTTTTATTCTACTTGATTTCCTTTTTTTGTACCCTCATCTTTTTGCAGATTGCTTGGCTTCTTATCAAGCGGAATGCTGAATATAAACCCCTGCAGTTTTTAACTTTTGCATTTGTTTATCGGATCTTTGAGAAGTTGAAATCCTTTGAACCACCTGTATCTCCAACATATACAGTGAGTCATATTGCTAAACATATATTGCCTCCCATTGTTTTCATTTTTTGAAACCATATTCAGGAACTTATGATGAGCCGTCTTTACTATTTTGAATTACTTTTCGATCTAATTATGCTATTGATTCAGGAAGATGGTGAGGAGGTAGGGAGAGGACTGCAAATGGGAAAACGGCTGCTTCGTTCTCTTGCCCTAGTGTTTGGCTGTATTGCTGTTGCTTCTCTGGTATATTATCTTGTTTGAATTATTGGTGCCCTAGTGTTTGACAGGGAGGGGGTATAATTTTGGGGTTTAATTTGGCTCCCGATCTTAATAATTGGTTATGTTATAATTTCAATTCCTCTTGTTTATGTTAATTTCACCAGTAGTCTTGGTTAATTTCTTGCAGGGATACACCGGTCTTCTCTTTACAATAACCAGGTATTGCTAGTATAAACATCTTTGCATTTATCTGATAGACCTTGTTGTACATTCAAAGAAGGTAAATCAATTGTATAATGTTGTACTCTTGGGAAAATCTTTTAATAAACCATTTGTGAAAATCTTTCTGCGCATGCAGGAATTGATAATCACCACAGCAACTGCAGTCATGCTCTACATTCTGGCATCATATTATAGGTGATGAAAAATGTTTGTAAATCGGAGAGACATGCAGCAGCAAGCTATCCTGAGCCAACTACTGATGCTATTCTGTACCAATTTAGCTGTCAAATTTCTTTTAAAATGAGAAATCAATGTTGTAAGTTGAAATTTTGAGAGGAAGGCTATTCGAATTCGGTTTTATCTTGTGTTGCGTTGTATGAAAATTCATTTTTTTCTTTCTTTTCAAAAAGATACATTACAAAGAAAAATGGCATTTGCGTTATGAGGATTAACAGAACAAATATTCTTGATATATAAAAAAAAGAAAAGAAAAAAACAGAAACAAATACTCCCAATCACGCAATCAAGGATTAAAAGGACGTGCCAAATGATCGATGCGGATTAGGCTAGTTGGATAGGATAGTAAGTCCACCATTTGCACCTAGATATGAGTTTCCTTCGCATAAATTAAATTAATTTTAAGTAATTTAGATCATCGAGTGTATATTAAAAAAAAAAAAACACAAACAACAACACGCGAGATGTTTTATCCAACGGCTTTTAAGATTGGGCAAGCCTGTACACGATCTAACTATAGTTAAGCCCATATTTTGGGGCCTGGGTCGGGTCGGTTGGGTTAAACAAAACGACAACCTCCACTTGCCTCCTCTCATAAAATAAAAGGAGGACATCCTACCTATCCTCATAAGAGAAGCACACTACTCTCCCAAACAAAAAAGGAAAAAGAAGTACTATACATAGAAGCTGAGATTTTACACTGAGACAAGAGTTAGCCACCGATTTAATACGAAGAATGGAGGGAAGCGCGCGGTAGGGTTTAATCAAATCCGATTATCACCGATTCTTAAACCCAAGGAAGGATTTTTCCAGTTTTCTTCTTCTTCGTCTTGTCCTAATTGAAAAACCCTAGGATTTTCTATCAATCGTATCAATCAGTGTGTGAATTAAAGAAACTAGGTCAAGATGAGGATTATGATCAAAGGAGGTGTGTGGAAGAACACCGAGGATGAGATCCTCAAGGCGGCGGTCATGAAATACGGGAAGAACCAATGGGCTCGAATATCGTCGCTCTTGGTTCGCAAATCGGCTAAGCAGTGTAAGGCTCGCTGGTACGAATGGCTCGACCCCTCCATCAAAAAGGTAATGTATTGTTTATTATTATTATTATTACTATCACTTTTGTTCAGTTTGATGTTTGGTTACTGAAGAAATATAGGAGATTGTGAAAACTTGTAATGTGGAGTTATTTAGGATTTGTGTGGTGCTTCTGAAAACTGATTTGGTTATATTTTGATTTTTTTAGTCTGCTTGGTTTCTTTCAGTTGTTTAAATATTCCACTTTTTTTTAGTTTGGGTTACCATTATACTGAGATGGGAGCAAAATATGAAATTTGTTATTCTATTTGTTTTTTCCCCTTACCCTAAGTCTATTTCGCATCCTTTGGTTTGACTTTATTTTTGTTTTTTGTTTTAGTTAGATGGATTTGTATGCTGATTCAATTACCCTGATTCTTGCAGACTGAGTGGACTAGAGAAGAGGATGAGAAGCTTCTTCATCTTGCTAAGCTCATGCCTACACAATGGAGAACCATTGCCCCAATTGTTGGTCGTACACCATCCCAATGTCTGGAGCGGTATGAGAAACTGCTTGATGCAGCCTGCGTTAAGGACGACAACTATGAACCAGGTGATGATCCACGGAAATTGCGCCCTGGAGAGATTGACCCCAATCCTGAGTCAAAGCCTGCTCGCCCAGATCCTGTTGATATGGATGAGGATGAGAAGGAGATGCTTTCCGAGGCACGAGCTCGGTTAGCAAACACTAGGGGCAAGAAGGCCAAAAGGAAAGCCAGGGAGAAACAGCTTGAAGAGGCCAGAAGGCTTGCTTCACTACAGAAAAGAAGAGAATTAAAAGCTGCTGGAATTGATACTAGGCAGCGAAAGAGGAAAAGAAAGGGAATAGACTACAATGCCGAAATTCCCTTTGAGAAGAAGCCTCCTCCAGGCTTTTATGATGTTGCTGATGAAGATAGACCTGTGGAACAGCCTCAGTTCCCTACGACCATTGAGGAGCTTGAAGGGAAAAGAAGGATTGATGTGGAAGCGCAGTTAAGAAAGCAAGATATTGCAAAGAACAAAATTGCTCAAAGGCAGGATGCTCCCTCAGCTATTCTACAAGCCAACAAGTTAAATGATCCAGAAACAGTTAGGAAGAGATCAAAACTGATGCTTCCTGCACCCCAAATTTCAGACCATGAGCTGGAGGAAATTGCAAAGATGGGTTATGCGAGTGATCTTGCAGGGAGTGAAGAACTCACAGAAGGGAGTGGTGCAACTCGAGCTCTTCTTGCAAACTATTCCCAGACACCAAGGTTGGGAATGACACCTCAAAGAACACCTCAAAGAACACCTTCTGGAAAGGGTGATGCAATCATGATGGAAGCAGAAAATTTGGCCAGGTTGAGAGAGTCTCAAACACCATTATTAGGAGGAGATAATCCAGAGTTGCACCCATCAGATTTTTCTGGGGTCACTCCTAGAAAAAAAGAAATTCAAACACCAAATCTGATGCTGACTCCTTCTGCAACTCCTGGAGGTGCGGGTCTTACACCTAGAATTGGCATGACTCCAACAAGGGATTCTTTTGGCATGACTCCAAAGGGGACTCCCATTAGGGATGAGCTCCGTATCAATGAAGAAATTGATATACATGATAGTGCAAAATTGGAGCAACGAAGAAACTTGCAATTTGGTTTAGGCAATTTACCACAGCCAAAGAATGAGTACCAGATAGTCATGCAACCAGTTCCAGAAGATAATGAAGAACCCGAGGAGAAAATTGAAGAAGATATGTCTGATAGGCTAGCTAGAGAAAGAGCTGAGGAAGAAGCACGCCAGCAGGCGTTACTTAGGAAGAGATCAAAAGTATTGCAGAGGGAGCTCCCCAGACCACCAGCTGCCTCATTGGAATTTATTAGAAATTCCTTGACAAGAGCAGATGGAGACAAGAGTTCCTTTGTTCCTCCTACTTCAGTTGAGCAGGCTGATGAAATGGTTAAAAAGGAACTTCTTAGTGTACTGGAGCATGATAATGCCAAGTATCCACTTACTGAGAAAGTAGACAAACGGAAAAAGAAAGGTGCCAAGCGCAGTGCTGGTGGACCTAGTGCTTCTGTCCCTGTGATAGAAGATTTTGAAGAAGATGAAATGACAGAGGTGTGTGTTTAGTTCCTCTTATATGTCATTGCTTTCATAATGCCACCTTCATACGGACACACATACATACACGGAGGTGGTGGTACTGTCTTCTTTTATCCAATTTATTAAGTACTGTTTCATATGTGCCTGGGTTGACAAAAATCTAATCTTGTTTAAGCATTATGTTTTGTTATGTAGCAAAGGGTTTGCTAAAAAGCAGCTGTATGAGTATTTAGTGGAGTAAATTTTGACTTACTTTAAAATACGTGTGTGTAGTTATGTACTTCTATATGGATATGATAAAAGATTTGTTCCCCAAAATTAGTGTAGTGAGATCTGATGTGTGTTGAGACAGACTGAGACTGAAGTTTGACAAACTATTAGTATTGAAAAGGTGAAGCAATAAGGTAAACTTAAAATGAGATTGTACCAAGAGTCCTAAACATGGGTGTACATAATAGGTGGTCATTTCAAAAAGATCTTTTAAAAGTATAGATTGATGAATTTAGACTCTTTAGATAGTTTGCAATCAGTTGTTCGCTGGGGCATGATGAAATTATACAAGATGTTCAATTCATTGTGTTGACTGTTTTTTTATTCAGTTTGACACAATGTCCTTCATTTTTCTAGACTGCCTTTGAGCATGTCTAATGATTATATATCTGCATATTGTTTATGATCTCCATGTTGTAGGTTAAACTTAAAATGAGATTGTACCAAGAGTCCTAAACATGGGTGTACATAATAGATGGTCATTTCAAAAAGATCTTTTAAAAGTATAGATTGATGAATATGGACTCTTTAGATAGTTTGCAATCAGTTGTTTGCTGGAGCATGATGAAATTATACCAGATGTTCAATTCATTGTGTTGACTGTTTTTTATTTTATTCATTTTGATCCAATGTCTTTCATTTTTCTAGACTACTTTTAAGCATGTCTAATGATTATATATCTGCATATTGTTTATGATCTCCATGCTGTAAGCAGGCTGATTCAATGATAAAGGAAGAGGCTCAGTATCTTCGTGTTGCAATGGGCCATGAAGAAGAATCCCTTGATGAATTTGTTGAAGCACACAAAACTTGCCTAAACGATCTCATGTACTTGCCTACTCGTGGTGCTTATGGTCTATCAAGCGTTGCTGCAAATATGGAGAAACTTGCGGCATTGCAGAATGAATTTGAGAATGTGAAAAAGAAGATGGAAGATGATATCCAGAAGGCAGCAAGCGTTGAGAGCAAAGTTAAAGTTCGGACATATGGTTATGAGGTATGATTCTGTTTTGTATAATGCTTGCTGATTTTTTTTTTGGTTATAGGAAGAGTTTTATATTGTTAGAACAAGGCCTCTGTGTGCATTTTTTTTCCACACTTGTTATGGAAATTTCTTGTTCTTTTATTCTAGCATATGTTTACCATTGTTAGTTTCCTTTGAGAACCAAAGTGGTGCTCCAATGGAATATTCTTTTGCCCTTCCTCCCTCCCTCAAGCCTATGGTTACACAAATAAGCTACTTTCTATTCTTGCTTTGCGATTCAGTGATCATATGTGACTTTCAAGCTTAAGTGATGCAGGAGCATCTACGAAGTTCTTTAAGATTACTTAGGCTCGTTAGTGAATTGGGCTAGGGTTCTAGTTTCTTTAAATTAATAGTTACTTCTTTTGTTTTCCTATTACTAGGATTTTTTTTATTTCCTGTTTTGGTTTTTAATTTCCTTTGTCAATTAGGTTTTCTTTATTCTAGTATAAATAGGCTATTAAGAGACTCTTTATGCAGTTTTTTAATCAATGTATCAATATAATTTCAGACATAAGTCTATAGAGTTTTCTTTGGGAATTTTGCCCTAGAACTCAATTATCTTCGTTCCAACTTCAATTATACTGCTGTATCCTTCTATTCTCTGTATTTTTGGGATGTTTGGGTTGCTGGGCAGCAGCTTATAACCGCTGCTCTGCATTATTAAGGTACAAGATGCTTGCAATTGATAGGCTTGGGGTTTGTATAATAAACTTTCAAAGCTTAAATTCACAGAATTGTACGCAGAACTTCTGAAAAGTGGAACAAAAACCTTATCCGAAGTTGTGCTAAAAATTCATAGGCCTTCCTCTCGTTATCTGAGTATGAGCTCTTGTAATATACAAAACACCCATACTTTAGTAATTATTCAAGTAATTGCTAGTGGACATTGGACTCCTTATATTTTTGGCATCGAATAAGATTCATCTCCATCTAATGTTTTGCACACAACCCAAACGAATGATACTTAAAGTTGCTAAAAATGAAAAGTATCAGAGTATTGATCTTTAGCTGCATTGAGTACCATCATGATCTTGTTAGTGAAGTTTTTTCTAACGTGTGTGTATTTCTTGTGTAATTATATCTCAAGTATAGGAGTGAAACATATTTTATTACAGTATGGTGCCAGGGTCCATATGCATAACTGCTTAACCCAACTAATGTTAGATTGAATAAATTAACTGAGAGGTGCATTGCTTTTTAGTTGTGGAAATTGTTTGAAACCAAATTTATTATCTTTTGTCCTTTCTTATTTTCCAGATGCGAGCTAAAGATGGTCTTTGGCCAAAAATTGAGGAGACTTTTAAGCAGATGGACACGGCTGCAAAAGAACTTGAGTGCTTCAAAGCTTTACAGAAGCAAGAAAAATTAGCGGCATCACACCGGATAAATAATATCTGGGAGGAAGTTCAGAAACAAAAGGAACTTGAGCGAAATTTACAAAAGCGGTATGGGGATCTTGTAGCGGAGTTGGAAAGGGTACAGCACCGTATGGATGAATACAGAGCACAAGCAGAAAAAAAAGAAGAAATTGCAGCCATGAATTGTGATCGAGAGTTGGCTGAGGCCACAGAAAATGTGACTGTTCTGCAGACATCTGAGAATCCTGATCCTACAACTGCTTCAGATGAGCTTGGGAGCACTGTTCCTGGTGGTGCATCTAATGGTGAAGCTACAAATCTGCAAATGGATGGTGATAAGGACATTGATGCTGGAAAAGATCACGAGACAGTGTCCAGGGATGTTAACTTACCTGATAACATGCCTTCTGCTGTGGAAGGAGAGAATGATCCAAATTCTCAGCTCACTAGCTCAGGTGGAATACACTCCAGTGGGGTTGCAGCTCAAGACTCTGTTAGCAAAGGAGATAATGTTTCTGACAATCTGGTTGCAACTGAAATCAAAATGGTAAATGATCCTGATGATGGGGTAATTAGTGACAATATGACAAGTAGTGTTGTAGCCGAGGATCAAAAAGTTGAGATGCGGCAGAGCTTGACTGAACTTGAAGGCAGTGTTCAAGCAGCAGGGGATGGTGGTTTGGCTAATGGGAGTGCCACCATTGTTTCTATCGAAGGAGAGGTAGAGGATTCAGCTGAAAACGCAGCACCAAATCTAAACGCGTTCAATGTTGAGGAGACAGCGTAGTTTGGGTGATGAACTTTTGCTAGTCAAAACGTTGGTGGATAGGTTCCCAGTTGGGAACCGGTATGGGATTGTCAATCGGAAATTGTTCCCTACTTGATGATTTGGAAGATAATTATTATCGTTTTCAAAATCGTGCCAATCCATATGCTTCACGTGAAAGAACAATTGAGATCGTTTTCTGGTCTTCATACGGTGTAATTGTTATTAGATTGAGGAGCTATTGTTGTTTACCCCAAAAAAAAAATTGACAAGAACGAGAGATTGATAACTCTTTTTGAAACTCTTTTCTTTTTTAGAATGTCTACCGTCGATTGCTTTATTATTCTGGTACCTGTCAATTTTCTGTATTTGATATTCCGGTATGGCTTCTGCACTCTGCTTGGTCCATTGTATGTCCATAAAAGTATCATCTGTGAAGAGTGAGGTCAACGTTATGCCATCGGCGACATGCAGAGAATTACACACGCACAATCTTTTGGTAAGGCTGGACGAGGACACAATCTTTTGGTATGACTGGACGAGGATTTAATAAATCTAGAATCAATTGGGTAGGGATTGACATTTTTTTATTCTGTACTCTAAAATGGAAATATTATTCTCACTTTAATCTTGTCGTTCATCTATATTATTTAAGGGTTATACCACACCCAGTACTACAAGAGTGTTCGTATCTTTATTCACTTAAGCTAAACTTTCATAATTAAATATTGGGTACTCTCAACAATTATCAGTTTATCCTTTATGGACGTCGGATGGTTTCAACAATTATCGACTTATCCTTGTGTTTGAATAATATTATAAGGTATGAAACTATAAACTGAAGCGGGCATTGAATGAAGACATTATTTAGCAGATAACTTTTCCAACTAAGCACAAGGAAGGAAGTCTATTTTGCCATCTTGCTGGATAAGCTCGCCCCACACTTGAAGCTGCCATATAAAAGCTCCCAAAACTCTCTCTCTGTCTAGCTGACTGCCCCTGCCCAGACCCAGAGGTATCATATTGATAGTGGCATATCTCTTGCTCTGTTTTTGAGTGGTAATTGTAGGTTTTCTGTGGTCTGGTTTACCTTCTTTCTTCCACTCAGTGCAGCTTCTTCCTGGTTGAGTAAATAAGAAGCTGATTCATCTAAAAAAATTGCAAGTATAAATTTACTTAGAATGGACCATGCAACCCAACCCAGATAAATTTCCATCAAAAAGAAGAAAAAAAAAACACAGATAAATCATAAAGCCATTTTACAAGTGTTTTTATTTTTGTTCTTATTGTAGGAGGTCTTGCTATCGACTAGCCAAAACTTCACTGATCTTCGCCATCTATATCTACTACTCGGCTAAGAAAGAGTAAGAGGCTCCTGCTCTGCTTCCTAATTTATGATTCTGAGAGGTAAGCAAGCCTTTTCCATCTTAAGTCCAAGCTTTTTACGACTTGTGTGATCGTTGAATTGACACGCATATTTCTCCTCCACTTTGTTTCTTTTTTTCCTTCCTTCTCCACAATCGCTTTTAACAATCTTCTCTTATATAAATAAATAAACCGTACACAAATTTGAGTTTCATTAACACAAGACCATGTCACATCTGTAACTTTTACACTGGCCAAAGCAAAGCAATTGTGATCAATCAACTGGCACTTGATAAAACCAGCAAGTACCTCACTATTCACTATAACAGAGCTCTCGTCTCAAATATCTGCAATTTATCAATTTCATTGTCTACATCAAATCAGGAAGAAGAAGAAAAAAAGTAGTATTGGCCCAGTCCCCCGCAAAGCCAAGACAAAAAGAAGCGTTCTCGTTGCTTCTTTGTGGGAGCGGTCTCATCATATATGATATATGATGACAATTATGCGAAACTTTCCATCACTTTAAAGAAGCCAAAATAATATTGGGCCACTTGGATTCCAAATGAACCACACTTCAAATGGGAAAAAGAAAAAAGAAAGAAAAAAGAAAGGTTATCTGCAAAATCTTTGGATTCCAAATGAACCACACCTCAAATGGTAAATGAAATTGAGTTGTCAATCAACAGAAAAGAATTGTTGGGGGGCTCAGTCAGGAAACTGTTGATATAAGCCTTAGCCAGCCACATCAGTTGCATGCATGTTAAAGTTGTCATTTTGTTGGATTGGACTGCATGAGTCAGGACTCAGGACACCATTTCTGGTTGAGATGTTTTCCCCGTGATTCCTAATCACTACAGTTCCAAGTGGCAACTTGGTTGTGACTGTGTACAGTGTACACACGCGGACTAGTCTAAAGATTACAAATTGAAATTGGCATGGTGGTGGGTTAGGTAGGTAAGGTCTTTTTTTTTTGTGGGTTCTTCTTGGCCTTACATCATATATAAAGGTTCCATTTTCAATCATTCAACAAGTTTTCTGAATATAACTTTTTCTTGTAAGCTCCTTTTGCATGAAGCCTTTTCTTGTAAATCCCATGTCAGAATTTCTGTGCTGTATATGTATATGTTGATGATGATTAGTTATTTTTTGTGGGTTTTGTAAGTAATTTGCACTAACTGCGACTTTCTAGTTTCTTAAACTCTGCAGTGCCACAATTTAAGGAATAAGGGGATTTCTTTCGTTCGGCTTAGTTTGTTGGAGAGGGAGCTTCGCTTGCATATATCTCTCTTTACATGTAAGCTTAGATGCCTTCAATTTCCTGAAGACTAGTTCCAAGTTGATTGGAATGGTCGTCTTGTGACTTAGAAATGGATTGAAGTTTGGAAATTTTTAATTGGGTCCTCTGTTTTGACCGTAAAAAAACTCTCCCATTAGAGTAGTTAGATTGAATTTCCCTTGAATTTAGGGTCAACATAAATGAAAGTTTTTCGCATCAGAGTTTTTCTATTTTGTTTTATTTTGCTATGCTGATGAAGGGATTCGTTTTGCATCGGAATTTTGTTTTTTTGTTGCTTCCAAAACCACACTTCTGTTTGCCATAATTTTTCAAACAACAGAGTTTTGTTCTTTTTCCCCCAAATTCATTCATACTACTAATTGATCATTTTCGTAAAGTATCTAACAATGGTAGCCGAAAACAATTTCTGTAAGTATTAGTTTATATGTCTGCATTTAGTAATTTGATTATGTATTTCTGTCCGGGCAATAGATTATGAACTGATTCTGTGTCTCCTCTTTTGCTCAATTGGGGATTAGTTTCTTCAGCAAAAATGGTGACTAAAACGGTGGATCTCCGATCCGACACGGTCACTAAACCAACCGAAACAATGCGGGCTGCAATGGCATCTGCTGAAGTTGATGATGATGTACTGGGAAATGACCCGACCGCATTCCGCTTAGAATCAGAGATGGCAAAGATCACGGGCAAGGAAGCAGCGCTTTTTGTTCCATCAGGGACAATGGGAAACCTCATCAGTGTGCTTGTTCATTGTGACATTAGAGGAAGTGAAGTAATTCTTGGACATAATTCCCACATTCATATTTATGAGAATGGAGGCATCTCAACACTTGGAGGTGTGCATCCCAGAACAGTCAGAAACAACAAAGATGGCACAATGGATCTTGATTCAATTGAAGCCGCCATCAGGGACCCGAGAGGGGAGCTTGTGTATCCGACGACAAGGCTCATCTGCTTGGAAAATTCACATGCAAAGTAAGGATTATCTTATTACAAAAAATAAAATAAAAAATTAACACACATTTAACTATATTGCTTGTTGCAGATTACGATTTGGTAACCACTTCATTAGTTTTAGTCATTTTATATAATATCTGGTAGACTCCTACTTTGTGTTCCATGACTAGGGGGTCATTTTATTTTATTTTATTTTATTTTATTTATGTTATTGGCCTGAGAAATGTTGGGGTGGGATATCCTTAATTTCTTTTCTCAGTCCCACTTGCATATATGGAGCCAAAGTTGGCTCCTGTCTTTTCTGAAAAATCTTTTATCAACCATGTGTTTGTTTGTTAATGCCCCCACACCCACGTGGGCCTGACTTGACTTCCCTGTATTTGGATAATTAGGAAGAGATTATCATCCTCCTGACATATAACCTGCAACTTTTTCCCTAATAAATTTAGGTTAGTTTATTTCTCCCAGATATTATAAAACTAGTTGAGACCAACCTATCGAAGTTGAAGTTGGTTATGATTATTTCTCCTAAATCAGTTCTATTTTGTTACTTAGCCTTTGCTCTTTTCTTTATCATTTGTAAAGCCTTGTAAGTGGTATAATTGACAAATGCAGCTGCGGTGGTAGATGCCTGACTGCAGAGTACACAGACAGAGTGGGAGAAATAGCTAAGGAGCATGGTTTGAAGCTTCACATTGATGGGGCTCGTATTTTCAATGCATCAGTTGTGAGTCAATTTTCACCATGCATTTAGTTATGACTAATGTATACAATTTGGATGATATTCTGTTTCATAGTAAATAACAAGGCTATAATCATGTCAACGACGAAACAGATCAATGTAAACGGAAGAGACTGATCTTGATAAATTAGATAGACTGAAGTTTAGGCTGAAAAGAAACTAGTTATAATTTCTTTTAGTTGAATATTGAACTTTGGTTTTAAACTTGATGGATAATGAATGAATTCTGTACATAATGTGGTGGCTTCATTTGTTACTTAGGGAAGGCTTGTTAATATTTTATTAGTTCATAAGAGACCGCAAGTTCAAATGTTATCTTATTCATGGTAAACATGTACAGGCACTTGGTGTTCCTGTTGATAGGCTTGTGCAAGCTGCTGATTCAGTTTCGGTATGCTTCTGATAACTGGCTTTTTTAATTATCTTTATAATGCAGTACAGTTCTGCAGGATTCTCTTACCAATCTTTTTTCCTTTTTTTTTCTTTTTAAATAATAAACTAGGTATGTCTGTCAAAAGGTATTGGCGCTCCTGTTGGATCTGTCATTGTTGGTTCCAAAAGCTTTATTACTAAGGTATTCTTGAGAATTCATCTCTTAAAGATCAACATCACATCTTTTCTTTTATTTTTTCCTTCAAAATTTGATTCGTTGCTGTTTTCGCATCTTACTTTAGGCTAGAAGGCTCAGGAAAACCTTAGGAGGTGGAATGAGACAGGTTGGTATCCTCTGTGCTGCTGCTTTGGTCGCTTTACATGAGAATGTTGCAAAGCTTGAGACCGATCACAAGAGAGCTAAAATTTTAGCAGGTAATTCTCAGTCTACTTGATTGGTTCTGTATACCAAACTCTTGTTTGGAGGGTAGCCATCGGTTTCTCTCTTCTCAAGCTTTATTCATGGATCTCTTTTTTTCTTTTTCTTTTGAGGAATGCAGAGGGACTAAATCAAATCAAAGGACTAAGAGTAGATATTGATACCGTTGAGACCAACATTGTGAGTATTATTTGCTCAAATTTAGTCTGGCCAGCTCTAAATTTGTTTCTACCATTTACTTTTATGTTCTAACAGATGCATGACGGCTCATGTTAACAACCCTGCTTTCTTTTGTAATTGGAAACTTGTAATATCATCTCAGTGCTTCTGATAAACATGGATCATCTATGAGCATTTATGCACTTTTGCATATGAGCAGGTATATATTCATGTTGTAGAGGGGTCAAATATTAGTGCAGAAAAACTACTCAAGAACTTGGAAGAACACGGTATACTCATGATGCGAGAGAGCTCGTCAAGGTCTGCTTCTTCACCTGTCACTCATCAAACATCTTTATATGCATCAGGAAATACTCAATTACCCAGAATGTATAAATTTGATTTTGGAATCTTTAATTTTGTTTTGTTCTCTTGATCAGCATTAGGATTGTTCTCCACCACCAAATTTCGGCAAGTGATGTGCAATACACTTTATCATGCTTTCAGGTAAACTTAATTGATATCATCACGTTCACATGTTTGCATATCTGCAATTTCTTTTTCTCTTGTTGCCCAAATTTATGTTTCGTTTCTATGTAAATGTTGTAGCGAGCTGTGACTGGAGGCCATGATGAAAATAATGGAAACTAATGGATATAGGACAACAACACAAGCTCTCCACCCTTCTCTCTCTGTGTGTCTCCAACATGAGATTTCTATCTACTACTTTGAACATGCAATAATTCAATCTTTGCTAAACTTGGAAACTTCTCTGTGCTAGTTTCATTTGTAAGGTTTTATGGTGGCAGAATTTATGTATTTTATTTTCGTTTTTCATGTATATAACATGAAAAATCAAAGTTCCAGTCATCCTGCGTCTCAACATTTGACTTTCTCCATTAAAAGGTCTGACTTATAATAATGGAAAGAATTAAAGACCCAACTAAGCTAGCCTATAATGGTTTTTTTATGTACCAAGTTTTTCTTAAGAATCTCAATATACCATATTATAAAATAAAATTTAGAAGCAGATTTTGTCAGTATACGGTATATATCACCAGATTCTGAACTTTTTTTTTGGGTTGGAAAATATAGTTTATTGAAAAAATATCATAAAATGTACAATAGATCCCAAATTTCAAACAATTACACAAATTCTTCTCTCCAATTCCGTAGAATTAGTAATAATAAGACCTTTTCCTTATTAATAAAAACGTGCACCGCTTTGACACGAAAGCTCATCCAAAACATATATCACGTGTACAGAAAACAGATGTATTATTGAAAAATACATATGTATGTGTATAATATGAGTATTAAACGTGAAAAATGCCAAATTCTTTATATGGGTAATATAACTCTATCAATGTAAACAAAAATCAAAGGAGACAATGGAGACTTGAGTTATGGCATATATGATAGTAATGGATGGTTCTAAATTACTCTTATTGATAAAAGAAAATCGGGGATTTTTATTTTATTTTATTTTTAAGGGTCCTGGTATTAAGTGTATAGCCGCTCGGCTATACTATTTATTTATAAAAAATCCCAGTACAGCCGACCGGCTATACCGTTTTGAAGAAAAAAAAAGTAATCCGAGTACAGCGCCTAGGTGTGGAAGTGTGGGAAAATGTATAGCCGCACGGCTATACTTTTTATTAAACCCAGGTACAGCCGCGCGGCGCTACTATTTTGGAAAAAGAAACACCACGTATAGCCGGGCGGCTATCCTTTTTTTTAAGTAAAGCCGCACGGCGATACTATTTGGAAATACGCGATTAAGTGCCACGTGTATAGCCGTCCGGCGATACGCATTCTAAGACCGCTCTTTCATTTTTATCCTATTTCCTCACTTTTCTCTTAAAAATAAAATGCCATATCTCCTTCGTCTTTTTGGCCATGGCCTCCGCCGAGATCGATTCTGATGCTTCGTCGGTGCGCTCCTCTGGATCACTGACATGAGGCTCTGGAGAGAGCCTTTTCCTCCTCCGGTGAGAGATCATGAAGGACCGTGAGATCGGTAGGTCCAGGTGTTTCGGATTCGTCACCTTCAGCAACGACAAGGACATGCGGAACGGGATCCGAGGATGCCAGAGCCTTCATTTGAGGGTTAGTGTTCTTCTCTGATGTTAGAGCCGCTTTTATTTTGCGATCTTAGGGTTAGCTGTTCTTTTTCGATTGCAATGTTAGGGTTAGCTAGGGTTCTTTTGCGATTGCGATGTTGGGGTTAGCTAGGGTTCTTTTGGGATTGTGATGTTAGGGTTAGCTTGTGTTCTTTTGCAATTGCAACGTTAGAGTTAATTTAGCTTTCTTTTGCCTTCTTTTGTAATTGCAATGTTAGGTTGAATTTAGCGTTCTTTTGCAACTGTAATTTTAGGGGTTAGCTAGCTTTCTTTTGTGATTGTAATGTTAGGGTTAGCTAGCGTTTTATTATTATTTTATATTGTAATGTTTGGGGTTAGCTGGCGTTCTTATGCAATTTGCGATGTTTGATTAGCTGGTTTTCTTTTGCGATTGCTGTGTTAGGGTGAGTTAGTGTTATTCTGTGATGTTAGTGTTTTTCTGTGGGGATGTATGTGGCTTCTTTTAATGTTGTTTACAACCCGTAGTTCATAGACAAAGTAAAAATAATTTCCTTTGTTTCAGACATTTGATCTTTTTGGTTGTGCACTAGCTCATGTTTGTGTGATGGACTTGCTGTGGTTCCCACGAATCTACCATAGGTTTTTAATGCTTTCTTTTGGGCCCGCTAAATTGTTTGCAACATGGTTTGATGTATAAACGTTGACTTATCCCTACCTCTCCTCCCATCTATTTCTGGGAATCGCTTCTTCACTGTGTCAGGTGACCATGGGAACAACATGGAAGCCAACCTCACCACTATCTATCAAGATCACAATGACAGATTTGCACCATTACACCAATTAGTTATTAGAGGTTGGCCTCTACCTTATTCAGTGGAAGTTATTAACATAGTCCACATATCATAATTGAACGGGAAAATATTATATATGCTAGTTCTGATACTCAGAAAGTTCCAAAACTACCATATTCAGTTGTGGGGTCAATGATTGAACATTAATAATTGGTATAGTAAATCTATGTATGATATTACATCTCATAATAACTTTTGTTATCGCCGTATCATCATTTTCATTATCTATTTTATGGCTGTGTAAAAACTTATATAGTAGTAATTGTGAATATTAAGAGGTATTTATTAGTAGTAATGTTGATTAAAATAAAGTTATACATATAAAATATGGTATTTTTAAATTTTTGATTGCCACATGTTGTATTCTGATTCGTCAATAGTAACCTTTAGCTAGGTCATTCCCACCCCATATATTCTTCCAAAAAGTTTTCCGCGTCTTGTGTTTAAAATAAATAAAAAATTGTTTTTCCTATTGGCTTATTTTATTGATATGAGAAGTTTGATGTCCTGTAATATGTTGTACGGCCCTATTGTTATTTTCATTATCCATCAACAATTACATTTTTTGGTTGTGTAAAAAAAATTAAAAAAAGTTTTTAATTTCATTGTAAGGTTATGGACATAGCAATGTGTTATCTTACAATTTTTCATTGCCACATGTATTCTGATTTGCCAATTGTAGCATTTAGGGTGGTCCCAAATATTCTTACGAAAAGTTTTCAACGTCTTGTGTTTTAAAGTAAATACAAAGTTGTTCTTCCTATTTACTTATTTTATTGATATATGACAGGTTTGAAGTCCTGTTATATTTCCGTAGTTGGTATACATAAAATCTTAATATGATACGGTTTTGACATGTCATCGTAACTACTATTATCTTCCTATCAGCATTATGATATACTCTGTTCTTTTTAGATATCCAAACTTCAATTTAGTTTTCATAATAAAACCCTCCCATTTATTCTTTGAAGATATCGGAAACTTAAATTTGGTGTGTGAATCCTTATGATCGAAGTTATATACTCTATAACATAGGCCTTATCCACAGAAGTAACGGGGAACATACAAAAGCTTTGGAATATTATTTTAGTGTTAAGTTCATACCTTCAGATTCTGTATTGCTACCTTTAAAATGTTCAACTTCCTTAAGTTTGTAAGCTCATCCATTCCTTTAAGATTTTATGTCTTCTTCTTCTTCTAGGTTTTGTTCATGGCAGTATGTCTTTTAATTGCAAATGAATGAGAATTTGTAGGTTATAGGCATTCACAGTGATACAATGTTTCATTTCTTCATCTAATTTTAATTACTCATTGATGAACCGATGTCAAGGCTGTCTTTTGCAGCATTCACACTGCCTGACAACTAGTGGACATTGACTGTTTTCTCACTGAATCAGGTAAATTGCCTTGTTCCTCTATTATTTTTGGCATGTTTTCCATTGTAAGGTTTGATAACTGAGTTTATTCTTGCAGGAAATATGTTTTTTTTCTGAAAGCAAACTGCCTACCAGTGCTGCAGCTTATTGCAATTGATCTATAGCCGATGAAACTTTAGGACGAAGCAGCTGAGTCGGTGGAATTTCAGTCGAATATCTCCGCTTTATTTTTCAGGAAAAATGTCTGTAATGTTTCTTCTCCTCCTCCGTCTGTCATGGTTCCACCACGTTTATGGTCCAATAAGCCCATATTACCCCAAAAATTATAACGAGTCCAAGTACCTAACGAGGCCCAATTCATAGTCGTACAAGTGACAACGTTTAGTCTGAAAACAAGCTAAGACCCAATTCCTTAACTGGTCCATTTACAATTACCTGGCCGATGATTTTGGTAAGTACATTTGTTGGACCAATGATAGGCCCAATAATATAAAAATGGGCGCATAAGGGGGCCCAAGGGAATGGTAATCGCCCCAAATGTTGACCTAATTAACGTGAAAATGGGCCAACACATCAGCCCAATAATATATAAATACGCCCTATAGTAGGCCTAATTATTATCAAACAGGCCCAAAGGTTAGCCCAATAACTTGAAAACGGGCTCCCTACTGGGCCCCTTAATTTGAATAGAGCCTCAAAGTTTTCCCAAATAAATGTGAAAACGGGCCCAAAGTAGGCCCTAGATCATGAAAACTAACCCAAGAAGGTCAAATAAAGGCCCAAAAACAACAAAATTAGCTCAATGACGTATCAGAAAAGACAAAATAGGCCCACTGAAGGATCAGGAAAGGACAAATAGGCTCATAAATACCCATAAAACGACAAAATAGGCCCAGACAGCGGGCCATATACGACAAAATAGGCCCAAAAGGGAACAAAACGACAAAATAGGCCCATAAAAGGTGCCAAAAAGACAAAATAAGCCCACAAAAATACCAGAAACGACAAAGTAGGCCCATAGAAGTCGTCATAAAGGACAAATTAGCCTAATGTTGGGCTCATAAACGACAAAATAGGCCCAAATATGAGGGCCATTAAAGACAAAATTGTCCGACCAAGGTACCATAAACTACAAATAGGCCCAAACAATGGGCGATAAACAACAAAATAGGCCCAAACAATGGGCCAGAAACGACAAAATAGGCCCAAACAATGGGTCAGAAAAGACAAAATAGGCCCAACTAATTGGTCAGAAACGACAAAATAGGCCCATAAAGGATGCCATTAACGACAAAATAAGCCCACAAAGGTGCCTGAAACGACAAAATAGGCCCATAGAAGTCATAAACGACAAATTTGTCAACAGTTGGGCTCATAAAAGACAAAATAGGCCCAAATCATGGGGCCATTAATGACAAAATAGGCCTATAGAAGTTGCCATAAACGACAAATTAGCCTATAGTTGGGCTCATAAACAACAACAAAGGCCCAAACAAGGCCCAATAAATACAAAATAAGCCCAAACAAGGCCCAATATATACAAAAAAAGCCCAAACAAGGCCAAATAAACTACAAAATAGGCCCAATAAAGCGGATAAGCAACAAAACAGGGCCCATTGAAAAAGCCCAAACATTAGAATGGCCCAGAGTCGGCCCAATATTATGAGACAGGCGTGGTTGTCTGCCCAATATCTTGAAACGAGCCCGATAACGTGAAAACCAGATTAGAGTAACAGGCTTGAATTACGTGCTATAGGCGTGATTTTTCTTTACTCGACGACCCAATTGATTTAACGGGCCAAAGTTTTTGATCGAAAATAACACGGAGAATGGTATAGCCCAATTCAATAGTGAATTATCTTTTGGCATAATCTATATATAGCACAGTAGAAAAAGAAAAGCATGCATACAAATATTAATTACAATCCGCACTAAATATATTGTAGAGGCTTCTTTTCATTGAAATGAGATCAAAACAGCAAAGGAAAAAAAAAATAAAAAAGGAATTTGAGGTGAAATCCTGCTAGCCTCCGGTTTTAGATTTCCTGGGGAAAAAAACAGTTAAACAATTAATAAGAAATAATTGGACAAAATTAGATAGATTGATAATCAGAAATAATAATCACAATTGGATTAAACCAGATGGTCACTCTGCAAAACTGAACCGAAGCAGAACTTAAGAATACTGAATGTGCAAGTGGGCAACACAACAAACAAACGTATCAAAGTACCACACTAACAAACGAACTAACAAAAAATACATTATGAAACTTCTGAATACTGAATGTGCAAGTGTGCAACACAACAAACAAACATATGAAAGCATCACACTAACAAACGAACTAACACAAAAAACATTATGAAACTTCTTGCACGTCTCTGGGAGAAGCAGCAATTCTCAAAAATACTTATTAAATATTAAGCTAACAATAACAGACTCTAGCAACATTTCAGGAACAACTAATGTTGTTCAAAAGTGGACAAAGTTCGTAATTTAAAATGATATAAAAAAAACCTAAATGTTATACAACTAATGTTATACATGTTCCAGGTTTTACACAACCTAAATGTAATTGTCAATAGATAATAAAAAACGAATGATAAATAGTTATGATGAGCTATTATATCAAAATAAGATTGATGCTACCAACTAGAAAATATAACAACATAAACACAAGACTTGTTATATCAACAAAAGAAGTATCCATGGGGAGAACAAATTGTTTATTAAAAGTAATAGACGTTGCAAACTCATAGGAAGAACAAATTGTTTATCCACCGGGCGACTACATTTTTATATTTACAACGTTCTTTTCCTCAACATTTCCTACTGATAAACACCTGTAATATTCAGAATTACTACCAACTAGAAAAAAAAAACTATATCAGTTTAGTTCTTAACACACTGTCATCCCTCAAGCTGATATATCATTCAACAATAACATAATATTTCAAAGCGCTCCCATTCTAATCTATCATGTGATATCGTTAAGAATTCAATAATATGATATTTGCCCCTGAAAACTCTTTTTTTTTTCATTTTGGTTCCATTTAAAAACTAAAAAGGAATGATATTTTATAAAAGAGAAACATCTACATGCTTGAATGAGTAAGGAGGTAAAACCTTAAAGATATGGAAGGCCCGCTGTCAGTGCCTCTATCAATGCACATCGCATCTTGAGCAAGCTGCCATGGAGGACCTGAAAGCAAACAGCCCACTCGTTAATGCATTGAATTAAAGATTGACCTAATTACTCAGCCCTTTCGCTCTATCAAATCAAAATCAATGATCTCGCTAAACCATAAACCAAAGTAAATCCTAAATTTTAAAATCAACTTTGACGGACCTAGAAATCCCTCATCCCTTTCGCTCCATCAAATCAAAATCAATGAACTCGCTAACTCATAAACCTAATTAAACCCTAAATTTCAAAATCAACTTTGACGGTTCCTGGAATTCCCATACCTAGCCCCATCAGATCTCTGGTGTTGCTGTTAATTCCCACGCCATTTCAACGATAAGCTCTTGAACGGATCCGATCGTGCTTGCCCGGCTAGGGCAGTAGGACTACCTCTGACGTAGAAGCCATGGCGGCCATCGAGGTGCTAAATCTAGCGAAACAAGAATCGCATCGAGGCGTTAAATCTCTCTTTCTTCATGCTCGTGAATCTGGTCACCAACGAAGGCTCCGATCACAGAGCCAATGCCATTGTTCGGCCGTATGAGCCCTTCTCCTTTGGCATAGATCTGATGAAGCTTGGTTCGGAGGGTTAGGGTTTCCTGACCTTCTCTCTGTGTCTCTCATCTCTCGCTTTCTCAGATCTGTGCTCACACTCTTTATTTGAAACTCTGAAGGCCCGAGGGTTAGGCTTTTGTCATTTGTGAGATCAGGCTCCTTTCGATAGATTATTCTTCTCCGTACGACGTCGGTCTGTTATGTATAGAATTTATAAGTTAGAGAGTTAGTGGACTGGACCGGTTTGCTTAGTTGACTCGACTCTGGACTTGGCCGCGTGTCCTGGGTTTCAATTCGCATTGGGCCATCCTCTGATAATAGTCCAGCAACAGAGTAGTAATAATATTTAGCAGCAGTGAGCGATAGCCTTTGTTGCGACATGTCGTATAAAGTAAGCTAGCTAGTTTCAAGTATAAACATCCGGATCTCGACTCTCTGCATTTAAATAGTGTGCATTTTTATGCATTTGATGAAATATGGTGTACTAAAATAATCCAATACTTCTTAATACGCCACATTAGCTATCATAAGTATATGAGTGTTATTTTTTCGCACTAACGGTAACGTGTATTGTCATCAACTTTTTTCCAATGTACTCTCTCCTATCTTTGATCTCCATTTCTTGCATCAGCACCGATTGTATAATAGAATATAACGCCCATAAACATTTTAGACAAAAACAAAATGATAATGCCCATAACACATGTCATTTACGACAAAAACAAAAACATAAACACAACAATAGGATTAGGGGTACTATCGGTTTGGATATGTTAGCATTAATTTCCCATCACTCATATAAAGCAAATTAAAGTTTGAAACATGTTGAGCCAGAAAATGATTAAGAAACCCATCTTGGTTGTTTGCTAAAAGTAGGAGGAGAAATATTCGTTTGCTCTTTATTAATTTGCATGCGATGGAGTGGAGAGTCAATTCTTTCTCAAGGGACATTGACACGATATTTTGGATCAAAGTATAGAGGGAATTGCGATGAAGGTTCCTCATTAAGTTGTTGCTTTCTTGGTTGTTTGTTTACAATCTCGGATTTGTAAGCATTTGTGAGTGACATTAACGTATTCACTCATGCTCATTCTCATCTCCTAGTTTCTCTATATATCTATCTGTCCTCTATCCAGTGCCACTAACTTTCTTGACAACTTTTCTTATTTTGTTCAAACAAAATAAATTACAAAGAGAATTCGCGTTACACGTTTAACATTGCCTTTGTTTGGATATAAAAATTTAAAATACATTTTTTTGACTAAGAATTTTACCTGAATGGAAAACTTGGATAAACCATTAAAAATAAAGAAAGAAAAAACTAATTGATAATTTATACACGCAAGTCAAATTATGATTGTCAAGAAAGTAGGAGTTTATACTTTCAGGAAATGAGACAAGTACTTTCCATTGATAAGAGGGGAAAATATGAAGTAGTGAGAAGAGAGAAGTTTTGCACACTTGATTATGTTAGGTAAACCAGAGATTAAAAATGTTTTAGTAATATATTTAAGTTTTAACTCCTTTTGTTCCCTAATATGTAACAGGGCTTAGGCCAGGAAGATTAAACAAGTGTATTGTTTGTGAATCATCTGGAGGTTTCGTTTCCTTAGCACAATGCTAACTCTAAAAGATGAAGAAGCTAGCATACCTATACATTTTCTCGGTTCTAACAGTTTGGACCAGCACTGGGAAGTTCATTGGGCATCCCAATATTATAAATTTGTGGTTTGATATTCCAAATGCAGGAAGTGTGTTCCTTACCCAAAGTAGAAGGGTTTTCCTTGTAAACATGATTAGCATATGCTGCTGCTGTATCAGTTTATCTAAGCCAATTTTATATCTTAATTTTTTATGACACGTTTACTTATTTGTAATGGGTATTAGAATCATGCGTATATTAACACATGCGTGGTAAAAAACTACGTATATTTCATATTACTATAACTAATTCAATACCTGAAAAAACTAGTAATTAGATTTATTAAAGGAGTAGTAGACTTGTTATAAGTGAGTAAAAAGGATGTTAGTTTTATTTACCCCCCTTCTTTTTACTAATTTATAGTTTTAAGTGCTTAATTACTATTGGCAATGATGCTAGTAAAAATGATAGTCTACAAAAGCACCCCGAATCCTACCCTATAATGAGGCCCACCCAAGACCATAAGAGAAGAACAGATATGTTTACTTATGTTAAAATTGCAAACTTCCTTCACAGTTTATTCTTCTTCTAAGCATCTAGTAATGGCCCCCATGCTATAGACATCAATGGGTTTGGAATGCGAAAACGTTTTTCCTATGGATGGACTTACATTTACGATGTAGCCGTCCTGCCCTTCATTTTTGTTTACCAATAATTATGTATGATCAAAATTAATTACCAGTAAAATTTGGCCTCTATAAGCATTTTACCCAAAAAGGAATGCAGATGAAAGAAGCAGAGTACATTTTTTGGATGATATCGTAAACAGGTAATTGCTCTGAAGTTTCCTGCATACGTAGTTCCATCATTAACATGTAGGTAGTTAATTAATTAATAAATTATTTACTTTAAAGCGAGATTCATCGTTAACATGCAAGTAGCTAATTAATTAATAAATTACTTACTTTAAAATGAGATGTCAAATATCAAATATTAAATTTCACATCACACCCGATATGCCGTGTGATTTGGTATGTTTGTACTGTGTCAATCCTTTTTCATAAACAAAGTTACTGTTGCTTTACCATCCTGGTTAAGGTTGGTTCACGACTAACCGAGTCCCTTAAGTAAAAAATAAGTTTATGGCAAAACAGTCTTAAACACTTTGTTTCAAGGCCATTATTAATTACGGCGTATCATTATTATGAGTAAAATCATGAGTCAATATGTTACATCACACAGAGCTACCTCCTCAGCAGCATGCTGCATGCATGGACCTCCGATTTGATCGATTCATTTCACTTGTTTTTTTGGTTTACTGAAAAATTAATCTCACCCTCAAATTAAATAAAAAATGATTTGTTATTTTGAAGAGAAGGAAATATTGGGTTATGGGTGTGGTTGCACGCGCATAAGAAGGGGTTGGTGGTTAAAAATGTCATTGTGGCAAGGGTCACCATCAAGGTCTGGCCGATGCTGCCTAACTTGTCCTATTAAGGGAAAACACTTTTCCTGTTCACTTTACTTCTTCTCTCCTCTCTTCTCTGTTAACTTTATTTCAACTCTTAGTCCTTAAACAGACTGAAACCTTTCAGGACTCTTCTTCAGTCTTTAGCTTCACCCACTGCCCTCACTGAACCACTGTCCTCTTTGTCTCTCTCTCTCTCCCTCTTCCTCCTTCAACAATTAATGTCTTAACTATCTCAGTTGCTACCTATCTCTCTCTCTCTCTCTCTCATGGTTAAGTGCTTTGCCTTTTTTTTTTCTTCCCTCAAAATAAAAATATGATATGAAGATCTTCCTTCTTACAAATCATGATGCACCCAATCTAACTGCAGTCTTCCAAAGATTTCTTCTTCCACCACCAGACTGTTACTCAAAACTAAGTTTTCCCCAAACATACCTCACCTTGATTCCTTCTATTCTCTCTTCTTAAATCTTCTCTATTTTTCTTCAGGCGTACCAAATCCAAATTACTTGTAAGTTCCAAAGTCCAAAACCCCTTTTCTTTTCTTCTAATATCTCCTCTCTCTCTCTCTCCGACAAATTATATTTATGGAAGCCATGCAAAGTCTAGCATTTATCTTCCCGTGGGCATGTTAATAAGTCCCTCCTTCATCCCTCATTTGCACTTTAAAACAGCTCAAGAGAGAGGCATATACGCTCTTCAAAACATCTCCTCTCTCTCTCTCTCTCTCTCTCTCTCTCTCTCTCTACCATTATTCTCATTCATAAGGAGCTAGCTAGTCAACAAGAAAGAGAAACCCTAAAAGGAGAAGATCAGAAAGAATAATTGGTCCAACATCCACAACAAATCTCACCCTTCAAGGACCAAAATCTCACCTTTCATTCCACAATGGACATAGTTTCAGAGCCAATCACCAAGAATCCCCCCATCACCTTTGAAACCCCCATAATCAACAGCTCCACAAGTTCCATGATCACTCCATCATCCTCAGCAATATCTCCTGCCACAACCGCCGACTCCATTTCAACCCCAACCCCAAGCCGCTATGAAAACCAAAAGCGGCGCGACTGGAACACCTTCTGCCAGTACCTCCGGAACCACAGGCCTCCGCTGTCTTTGCCGATGTGCAGCGGGGCCCATGTTCTGGAGTTCCTGCGGTATCTGGATCAGTTTGGCAAGACCAAGATCCACAACCAGACCTGTCCCTTCTTCGGCCTCCCCAACCCACCAGCGCCCTGCCCCTGCCCGCTCCGGCAGGCCTGGGGTAGCCTCGATGCCCTCATCGGCCGCCTTAGAGCGGCTTATGAGGAGCACGGCGGGAGGCCGGAGGCCAACCCCTTTGGAGCGAGGGCTGTGAGGCTCTACTTGCGTGAGGTTCGTGATTTCCAGGCCAAGGCAAGAGGGGTGAGTTATGAGAAGAAGAGGAAGAGGCCCAACAACAACAACAATAATAGTAATAACAATAAGCCAAAACCAAACATGAATGCCATGCTCATCGCAAGTAGTGCTGCTTCTTCAACAACAACTACAAGTTAATTAGTGGTCGGTCGGGCTCTGAGAGGGTATATTTCTCTCCCCTATCCTCTCTACTTTAGTTCCGTTTTACCTTGCACAAAAAAGGAAAGATCTTATGAAATCTTTTGTGATATGTTGTTGAAATGTTGAAGTGCTTTTTTTCTGTGTCTGAAAAAAAAAAACACCCACGGTTTTGGGGTTTGGGCCTCTTGGACCTTGGCCCTTTTCTTCTGATCTGGCTGGGGGTATCTAGCTTTCTAGCTAGCTCTGAAACTGAATGATGAAATTATTACTAGAGGAGAGATCTCTCTGGAGAGTGAGAGTGTTGGGGAAAATGGCATCGGATGAGCTGTGGGTGGCAGTGTATTTACTCGCTAGCAAAGTAGGTAGCAGATATTATGATATGATTGTACTTGAAGCACAATATGAGATCATCATCATGAATTAATAGTAGACTGTTTGCATTATTATTTACTTGTCTTCTTGTATGTTTCTTTCTAAATACAATTTATCTTTATGGATCATGTGTCTGTCTCCCATTATCAATCAAATTATAACCCATTGACATAACATATGCCTCCTCGGAAGTACTATTCATATGGTTTAATTAGCATGTGCTTGCAGCTATCATAAAATGTGATTTCCATTTTGGTATATATAATTAAAACATGAAACACGAAACACAACTAGATAATTAAGCTCTAATTAATCCATCTCTCTCTCTCTCTCTCTCTCTCTCTCTCTCTCTCTCCACACACGCACATATATAATTATGTAATAGTCATGAAATTAAAGAAATCACATCATGCATGATTCATGAATGAGAGATAATTGTACAAGTGAAAAGCTCACGAGAGAGAGAGAGAGAGAGAGAGAGAGAGAGACTAGTCACTATATATAGTCAAATCTGGTTAGGTCGTATTCGTTTAAAGATAATCTTATTAGATCTATAATTTGGCAAAAAGACAAAGCCTAGATTATCTTCGCTGTGATTGATGCCAGCTAAAAGACAAATTAAAATTAAAATTTAAAATTTAAAATAATCAATTGTTGTTTTTCCATGGATGGTAGGCTGAGGTTGGGTTCTGCTGGCTGGCTGTATCTGATATTGCTGTGTCTCCTTTCAAGGGTTTATTATATTTTCAATCTTTTAGAGGCAAACTCTCGAAACCAGAAGTCGACATTTTATGTCCGTGTTTCTGTGTGCGTTTTAAACTACTTCTGCCTGCTTAGAGAATCAATTGATTCTTATGGGAATTAGTTTGGTTTAAGATCAGAAAACAATTGAGTTTTGTTTGTTTGATTAAAAGATGAGATGCTTTAAACCAAATGGCAACCATTAATACACAATTCAGCTTTGTTTCATTACTTTTACTGTAAGAAATTTTACACCAAGGAAGGACTGCTGAATTTTGAGTATTGTCTATGCATTTTGCCTTTGAGGCCGCTTCAGAATTTCGCATAAACCAGTACCCAGCTACGTATATTTTTGTATCTGTATTTGGATTTGAGGTTCATTTATTTGTTCCCAACCAAATGAATTATGGCATAAATATTTCTTAATACCGGATTTTTTCTGTTGTTGAAGAATATTAGTCTCTAATTCTCAATGGTGCATTGTTGTAGTAGGGCTATGTTGCATAAGTACGTAACATTCATAAACTTTCATGGTGTATTATATCTGGAACCTCACACTTCAATTGTGTAAACTAGATTGTTCCTTATATCACCCTCTTCTCTTTCCTCTCCCTCTCCCTCTCTCGCCCTCCTTAAAGTTCATGGATGCATGTACATCTTTGGTTTTGTATTCACCTTTTTTTCCTTATGCAATGCGAATAGGTTTAATTGACTTTGTGAATGCTGCTGGAGTATTTTTTGTAAAGTTCATGCTTATTTATTTGGATCGACAAACATGACATCCTCCGTTTCCTATATATGTATCATCTCCTTTTCAAATCTTGAACCAATATTCTAACTCAGTCAAGAAGTTCCCGTGGTTAATTATTGATCTTTTTCAACATCTTAGTGCTGAAATGAAATGGTAATTGTGATAACAGTGATTTCTGTATGGGAAAATAAAGTTGAAAAACAACTCCGTCTAGACTTCGCGCATAAGAGTATACAAACCCATTCAAAATCCTTGTCAAAAATCAAACTGGCTGGGCTGTTTTAATTTTAATGCACTTTACCACATGGCATTTGGGTCTCATTGTTGACCGGAGCAGATCAGTTTTTACGACTCTTATGAGCATGAGAAGAAGAACAAGAGCTAGCTCTAGTCTCTTTTGTTTATGTGGTTCTTCTCTTGGAGTTTCCAGAATTGGTTAAAAGTTCAGATTGAGGGTTTCATGGAACTGCATGCATGCTTTTGTGTTGAGAAGAAACTTGTAATCGTGATTAATTTGGTGCAATTAAACTGCAACGCTTGACGCTCTGTTATAAATGAAATCATGGTCTAAATTTAAAGAGACCTAGGATTTGAAAGATGAACTCATCCTTGTAACCTAGCTAATTGATAACATATACCAATATCAACAACATGCATTGCATGATGACGACAACCTGTTCAAAACACGCATATTTATATATAGCGCATCCGCGTGCTGAGCTCTTTCTAACTACGATTTGGTTCTGATTTCTAACTACGATTGTGGTGTTGTAATTTGTTCTCATTTGTTCATTTCAAAAGAATAAATGAAGTTGAAAAGTCTCCATCGTCTTCTCAGACTTTTTGTACTCCCCACCCATCATCTCAGTTATGGTGTAATGGTACTATGGAATATCTGCTGTTACGGCATGGCCCCAATGTACTCTGTTTAATAGTAAATCAATGTTATGTTGAGTCTGATTATTTTTAATTAATTAGTGATTAGCAATTTACTAGTACAAAGCGTGACAGGTGAGCCGACGCGATTGGGAGATGAGGGTAGTAGGTCCTAACCGGCGCAACAATCCAAGCAGTCCGTACAATGGGAGATGAAGAATCAAATGATCCCGCAATCGTCGGACTCAGGTGGCCGACACGTGCACATTGCCTGGTGGTCCCCACCCCAACCAAGCGCGTGCTCCCACGTGTATGCTTGTGCTGCGTGTCAGTAAATAACGTGCGCTTATCGCATTTTTATCATCTTATATCATCTCCAATGAGTTGCTTAAACGATAGTCTAAACTATTCTAAATTAATTTAATCTATAAGGAAGAGGGCTCGCTCACTTCCCCATCTACAAATCAGCTCCAAAGTTTAAATTCAGAGAATAGTTTAAAAAAACTCGAACTCTAACTAGTACCCACGTGGGCGAGTTGAGACGGTTGGATTGGGATTCCGTACGAGGAAGGGGGTGAATTTTTTCCCTGTTTGGGTCTGAATTGGTTTGCTATTTATGGGTTTTGGGTGTTTTGGGGGACGCATCACTGGAGTCGACTCGAGTCTCGGAGTCAGATATATATCCATAACATAACCATGTGATCTTTTGCCTGAATGTTGAATGAATATAGATTTACTTGAGACTTGGACTTGGACTTGTGGGGACCATCGACTTCATTGGCTCATTTTTTTGGTAGCCTTTAATTAATCCAAATTAGATTTAGAAAAGTGGGGGACTTGGGCACTTTGGCACTTGGGCGTTTGATCAAATCAATTTTATTGGACACGGAATGGAATGGAATGTCTTTGAAATTTGATGTGCAATTCGTTTGTTTTAATCACCTAATAACAATACAAATACAAATACAAATATATTATAATATTTAATGCTAGTGTTGAGACTTTGAGCTTGTGGGGTTCGAGGCCAATGTCACCAATCACCATACAACTTACAAGTCAGTAGGCTAGGGTAGAGAGCATGTTTGATTGAGAGCTTGTTGGGTTGGGCTACGAGCCATATCAGCTGAAAATTATTAAAAAAGACGGAGTGTGTTAGGCCGGACCCACCACGCCCGGCCTTTACAACTGCTTAGCTCTAGCCTAAAAAGGGCTATTTTAGCCAATTTCACTAAGATTTACATATACGAATTGGCTTCCCTTCAAATTTATGAGATAAAGGAAGTAAAAGATATGCTCAACCACCATGCATGATGCATGTTCAATTGTGGATACTCTTGGCCACAAACAAGAACGGGAGGGGTGGGAAAATTGGTACATTTGCCTTCCCCCCCCAAAACTACACCAAATCAGAAAAATTGGTGTTATCCATCGTACACTCCCTAAGTTAACTTCTTCCCTGCTACAAGCAGAGAATTCGATTGAGGTAAAAAAAAACAAAAAACAAAAAAAGCTCTGCAGCCTATAGCAGAACAGCCTTTTCTTCCCCTTTCCCCTCTCGTTTTCTTCTCTCTTTTTTGCTTTCTTTTTCTAGCATAAAGAATGAGCAGGTTGAGTAAGATGTACATGCAACCTGAAAATCAGGAGCGCAGAATTTACATTAGTCAAAAACTGGCAGAGCAAGTTTAGACTCTAATCCTTGTTTTGTGATTGTGAAACCAATGAATTGAATCATGTAGGACGACTATGAATCTCTTCATTAAGAAGCCGTGTCACTAGGCCTCGACCAGCAGTTTGCTGATTGTCACTTAAAATTCTGTACAGTGAGTTTAATTCTTCTAGGTTAGCCTTCTTCAATAGGCCTCTCAGTGTTGTATCAACTCCAGTGGGGACAATATCATTGGTGGGAGCCTCTTCATCATTTCTTTCCTTTGACATTTTATTGCAATTTTCACTACTTTCTCTGGATTGAGGTTTTTGTAGAATCTGTACTTGAGGTCGGGAGTAGGGACGGGAGTCCCAGTATTCGGAACAGACACGATTTCGATCCAATGCCTCTATGGCCTGTTCAAGAAAACAAAAATCGAGAAATGCTTAGCCTTAAAAAAGAAAAAATCTACTAGTAAATAAACATGAGTGAAGCTCAAAACTAATAATTCAAGAAATGACACGAAAGCCATACTATGAAGGTTCTAGTCCAATAATCCATGAAATGAGGAAGTAACCAGAGGAACTGGGAAAATGAATCTATAAAAAGCAAGATCATGCATTTTAAACATACAAGTCCCAATCAACATGAGTCGGACCATAAAGAGGTATTTGGCAATAGTGAGAAGTAACTCTCAGTTCTTTGGTAGATTTACCTGTACAATAGCTGGTGAAGTAAACCCAAACATTTCAAAGCCATCAAGACTTCCAGGCGGCTGCAAAGGAGGAAGGTTCATTCTTCCCAATTTATGTTGCCTAGTGATTTCTTGATTGACTCTCTCTCTCACCATTTCCCAGCATCTGCCAGCTGAATTATGTATGAAAACCTCACTTGGACAGATCTCCAAAGAAACCTTAAGGGGGGAGAAAAATAACATAATGTATCAGATAAATTATAAACACTTATGTTTACAATATGAAGATATATACAGCTTTCTCTTTTATCACCACTACTTAAATATTGTTTTGCCCAGAGGTTCAGGGGAGCTGTAGAAAAAGAGT